TGTATTAGGTTTTGTGCAATCCATTGCATTCTTCTCTCCTAAGTAAATATCACATTTCTTCTCCGTAAATTTCCTAAACAGATCGAGTAAATTGAAGTTTTCTGGTAAATCAACCTTCCCATTTAAGCAATAATTTTTAGCTTCATTTTCAAAGGCTTCAGCTAACATCATTGTATGTAATGGAATGCCCGTAAAGTTTCCATCTTTGTCGCTGAAGTTCTTTGAGGTCGACCTGAGCAACTTTTCGGCGAAATATCGCAAACTTCCTTTCTTCAGTTCTCCATTTGTTTTATTCCAGAACAGTTCCAAAAAAGTAATATGATTTTGTATAGTAAATGGCCGTAACGTAAAAGCAAATTTCTTCAAGATCTTCTCCAAGTTCATCTGGTAGGAGGCACGTGACGAAACCCAAATCTTCGAAGCCATTTTATTCCTTATTCCTCTTATTAACATCTCGACCTTACGACAGTAATCTGGACTTATTTCATCGAATCCATCCAATATTACAACTACGTTCCCTGTCTTTTCCAACGCATGTAGGAATATATTTTTTTCTAGTTCTAAAGCATTTTGTTCCTTCGAATGAGCGGCTTCCCACAGGAATTCCTTGTATTTGTTGATGCATTCTCCTTCAAATTCAGCTCTTTCCAGTGAAATGGTATGGTCATTTAGATTAAGTCTTAGCACCCACATCGAAGGTTCCCACTTCTTTATTTCATGTTCCATGTGGGAGAGAAACGTAGATTTTCCCATTCCTGGTTCGGCTGCAAGCAACATGGTGGAGTCATTGTGCTCCATTATACTCCTGACGTCATACGACTCGCATTTTGTTTTGTCAATATATTTGCGGATGACATCAATGTCACTACTCGAGTCTCTCCATACAAAGAAATCGCCTTTCTTATGAATCCAATGCACATTTTTGCAAAACATTTTCAGTCCCTTATAGTTAATTTCCTGATATTTGTTTCCAAGAATAACGTATCTAACTTCCTCTGGGTTGACTGATTGAGAAACATTATGATGTCCTATAGGCTTGTTGGAAGGGTCATCAATCTTAAATTTATATATATTATTGGCGACAGGTATATTTTTGCTGCATTTTCTGGTAGTTTTAGTACAAATTGATTCAACGGGATAACTTCTCTTTAAATTTCAGTAATTACCTCTTCCTAAGAGTAAGAATAATGGCTTTCGAAGTTTCGAACATTCAGAATATCAACTGAAAAAAATATAATTTTATTATGATAGAGAAGTTATTTTGCCTGAGAAATAAATAGTTTTGCGAACTAAACACAACGGGTACATTTTTGGAGCAGTAAATATAAAATAATTTTATGGTGTTATTTTGTTACATAAATTTTAGTGGATTCTTCCAAACGACACACTGTTCAATTTTATAAATGCATCAAGCCCTGTGTACCACTTGAAGATGGCCCTTCAAAGTTCCGAATCATGTGGCTTGGTTGTCTGCTTTTTGTATTTCTTTAACGTTTTACATTTATGTTAGTGTTCCCTAGGTGGATTATTTGCTGTTATTTATATTTCTTCATTTATTTTTCTTTGTGTAAAATATTGTTTCTATTTTGTGTTTGTCTGTATTTGGCTGTTATATTAAATACTGTACTATTAATTAATATATTATTGTACCTAAATATCGAGAATAAAACAATACGAGAGAATATAAGTGGCTTTAATTATTTTTAGAGTATGAATAAAGTATATTTTTGGGTATTATAAAAGTATAATATTACTGACGATATAAACATCTAATTTTGTGAAACATGGAAACATGCGTGAAAAGTCTCGGATAATTGCAATAAATTAGCAGCTAAGCACCTACACAAAATGTTTTGTTTAAAAGTCAGATTTTATTGTTGGAACATTATCTGTTATAATCCAAAGAATGTGGTGCAAAATGCATGTTGCCTATTTTTTCTCGAGTTCTCAAATACCAAACATTGTGTGAATTAAGTAAATAGTGTGCATCAAAAGACTAGTCAAAGAATGTGGTGCAAAATGCCAGTTACCTCTCCTTTTTGACCTCTCAAATACCTAACATTGTGTGGATAAAGGAAATAGTGCGCATCAAAAGACTAGTTTTAAAACCTGTACTACACATTCAAATTTCTTATTTACGCAGGAACGGACAAATTCTAGACAGAGTCAGCTCCTTTACTGTTGTGCGGATAGAAGAGAGTAATATTCCGTGAAATAAAATCTTTCTTTTTCTTCTTACCATAAGTAAATTGATTCTTTTGCTTGATGTTTCGGATATTTATTTCTGGTTGAATACTTTGTCGTCATCTGTGTGATTCCAGTAAATGCATTTGCCTTTCAGTCCTCAGAAGCAACACTTTTTTGATTCAGCCCTCAGAAGCAACACTTTTTTGTATATCGTAATTAATTTATAGGAAAACGTTCATGGCTTGTTTTCTCAAGGAATCCGATGTAAAACTTATAGTCTGAATCGTCTTATCGCTGTCTTCTTCAGTCACATTATTAAAATTATAAATGAGCTGCTTTGGCGGGGCATAAATCCTATAGGATGTCAAGGACTCACATCCATATTCTGGCAAACAGGTCACGAAAAGTACGCCTGCCAAATAGCCGAATTATATATTTTTGAGGTCTGCAGTGAAGAGAGGATTTTGCTAAGCCAAACGTCGTTGCTAAGCGATCTATAGTCGACAGCCATTGTTAAACAGCAGTTGATAGTCTGTGAAATTAGTATGGATGGTGCCATAGGCTGCAACGGCCGAAGGAAATAAATAGTACATTGAGCAAACATCTAAAACCATCACACAGAATAAAAAATCACAATTCAGAAAGTGTTTACGTTATTTTGTACTAAAATACTTAGTTTGTTAGTCGGTTAGTCATACACCTATATAATATTTAAATAATATTAAATATGAAAGTATTGTTTAAATCTGAATCCACTGTTATTTCATAATTAAGATTATTTCTCGAATATTTAAATGTACATAAGTACTTACAATGATTCTTACTTTGTAGTTTATATCATTCGCTTTCGACATTTAGCTACGTCGTGCATTGGACATGATTCATAAAATAATTGCAGTTGTTCGATTTGAGGTTTTTACAGCCGTGAGTATGAAGATTTCTGTCTTCTGGGTTGTTGCGTAGTGTAGTCTGGTAGATGTCCATCAACATTTCAGAGGTCATGCTGCCTCCGTCATCAGGGCAATGATTCATTGGTGGACATCTACCAGACTACACTACGAAACAACCCAGAAGACAGAAATCTTCATAATTGCAGTTGACACTTTACCTGTTGTCTAGCTTGAGTGGGACTTGGCCTCTCACACGCAGGAGGGAATATTTTCTTTTAGTGTTTTTGAGACAATAACGCTGAGGAGAATATTTACACCTATGAGAGAAGAAAATAGCAGAAACACTGAGAAATTTGCATATGTCTAGCGAGGAGTTTTATAATTTGTATTATTAACGAAGCGTTTGCTGTTAGGGCCGTCAAATCGAGAAAGATTTGATGAAAAGTTTCACGTAGCTCTTTTTCATATGGTAATAAATTATCAGGTTCCACAAATGACGTGGAATTTCATAAACATCAAAGAAGTCTGAATATTAATTTTCCAAGGAATCTAATGCACGAATTTCCACCGTTTGTGTTTTCCATTTATCAAACTTATTATCGCAGTTCGCAAGTCTTTTGCCTGTTTCACAGGTTATTTAACGACGATCTTTCAATTTCGAGGTTTCTAGGTTCTATGGTGAAGCGAAAGGAAGTGGGAAGAAATTGTTGTTTTATTTAGGACTTGTGGAGAGTCTAAAGAAACGCACGGATGATGCAAACAGGAAAGTTATTTTTTTATTTCTATTTGTAAAAATGCAAGTAGGCCTATATCACCCAGCTGTTTTGTCTCTGCTTATGATTTTTGTGTGTAAAGTTGTTCTAAGGAAGAAGGCGAACGAGACGACGAGTACAGGTCACTCTCGTTATACGCGCTTTCGCTATCCGCGGTTTTCTTTCTGTATCATGACGAGCATCAATATCCCATACGCGGCCAAACTTCAAATACTTTTATCTGCGTCGAACTTCCTTCAAGCGTATTAAGGAATGGCATGCAAAAGATGCTCTTAGAATCTAAAACTCTTTACGAAACGTACCCATGTGAACACAGAATGTCGATAAGTGGTGTCCATTTTCATTAGAAACAAACGTTACAAAGAATATAAACCACTTCAACAAGATCATTAGGGGAATTTGATATACAAAATCTTAAGTTAACTTGTACCTGGGTAGCCCACTCGACTAGGTAAGTGTTAAGAGATACAGACGTTATCTGTAACAAACAACTTCATATCGCAAGAAGCTCAACATAAAATGACAACTTTATCATATCTCTATGAAGATAAGTGTACGCCTATTTGTAACTGCGCCCCAGTCGCAAATACCAGAACCGATCACTCCAGAAGATTTAGATGAAGGAACTGCGTTTGTTTCACTTAAAGAGAAATTTCCTCTTGCCGATTGTTATTAACGTCGTTGTTTAAAATACTGAACTGAACGACTGGTGGTGTTGTGGTGTGAACATATAACTGCTCTGTAGAAAAAAGGGAATGAAATTAGCCTATCGCTACAGAAAAGAAGATAATTGTGTTTGTGAATATTGACAATTTCATTATCATAATACCAATATGGTTGCTGTTCGTGCTCTTATTACCGTGCTAGAAGAGAAAATGTACGGACTCTGAAAGTTACGTAGCCAAGACTTGAAAATCGATAGTTCTTTATTAAAATGGCGTTTACCGTTACTGAACAAAAATCCTTTACAGCGTTTATTACATATCTGAAATTATTTTAAAAACAAACACGTCTTTGTCATACATCAACTCTTCATGCACTTACGTATAATTTACACTCTCATAAATATTTTAATATTATTTAGATTTAATTGTCAATTGTACATATTTCTAAGAGACAAGGCAGTTATTTATTTTATTATAATTCATTTCCATAAATGAATTGTATTTTTTTGAGATGTCTGTTGTTTCCATCAAAATAAAATAAAACACTACGAGGCATTCGATTGTAGTGAACGAAATTTGTTTTGAACATCAAAGTTGGTGTCTGTGTAAAACTAATTAACCGCCTGCGCCATGGGGGAAACTACCGAACAATGGAGGGCCGCAATTGGCCGATGGAGTGGCGGAAGACCTGGGAAGTATATGATTATGGAAAATTTCGCTGGTAGAAAACGCGATAATGACAGTTTCAGGTGGTTCAGCTGTTTTCTATTGGCTTCGCTCCTTGTTATCGGCTGTGTTGAACTGAATCCGGGCCCAAACGGTGTAGAGGTAAGAACAGAAATTCTTTTAACACACATTTATGCCCATGTTTAAGTTTCATAGGGAACGTTACGCATTGAATGTCATGGGGATTCAAGAAATATAATCCATTTTCATAGGAAGTGACTTGAACGTCGTTAAAATTAACACAAAGCAGATTTAACAGGAGATTCAGCTGCTGATATTATAATTTCTTGTGGGGATGTAAGGGGTTTCTTGTCAAGGTGAATAACTTTCAATTGCTGAAGAAATTGTGTGAAAATAAAATGTCGGGAAGGATAATGGAGATAATAATAATAATGAAACCGGCCATATTAGCATGAAATAGTGAATTATAACGTGCACCAAAGTAAATGCAACCCAACAACATTCACTTGCTCCAGAGCAAAAAATTATATCATAAAGTGGTCTAACCCCGTATAACAGACCTTTCCAGACTTTGTTCGTGGTTACTGGTTACTAGGGCGTTGCTCACGCCAGTTGCAAGAAAGTTGTGCAGGTGCAAACATGGCTTATTCGCAAGGAGAACGTGTGTCCTTTCCCTTTTCCGATCTTCGTGAAACATTTTGCAATGCATATACTCACAAGGAAGTCCAAATAGGACAACAATGCATCGACTGGTAACAATGCTTTGGGAGGTTCTCGATTGTTTTGAGAGGCAATTAACGGTACCAGAATTTTTTCTTCATTTCATTTCTCTGTTGGAACAAATGAAAAGTGCTGCTGGTTTCACCAAAATGGGGCCATGGCCCAAACTGCGAAAACAGCTGTTTTATTGCAAAAATTATTCTGCGAGCACATTGTTGGAAGTGGGCGCGGTGATACCTTATCTTTCGAAATATTCATGCATGGGAATTTCTGAAACAAAGAATTTGTTATAATATCTCGCGAAGCTTGGAGGAACTGAAAGAGACTTGCCAACATTGACCCGGAAACACTTCGAAAAGTCGCGTAAAACACACTACATATTTGGATGTTTAATTTCTACAGAGCTCTGGACGTTCTCAGCATTTGCTGTAACTCTGTTCTATAAATTCTCGCTAACAATCAAGAACAAAGTGGGAAAATGCAGTCTGTCTTGTTGTTATACATGCCACCAAAGCATGCAAATACTTTGGTAATTCATATTGCGTCCTAAGCGTACCTTCCTGTATATGACAAATGTATAAATTTTGCGAACTGGGAAATCACTACCCAGCTGTATCTACGTATGATGTGTATTTTATCATAAATGACATCATCTTATTTCTTTCGTAACAACTAAAGGCCTACCAGTGTAAGACATTTCTTTCATTGCAGTTCTGAGTATGGCAAACACTTTTCTAGATTATTCTACATGCAGAACGTGACCACAAGACACTTTGGCTGTGCCAGTCATAGATCATGATATACCCAAAGAATCCTTGCGCCACAATCATTCGATTCCAAAGAAGGATGTCTTGTGACAATTTCATAAATTTCTCCTACAAAGTTATTGTTTACTTATCAGGATGTGAAGTGTTAAACAATTGGACTGATACTAAGCCTTATCTATAATCTTTTATGGTTATAAATATTATCTTACATTCATACAGACAAACAGTTTAAATGGGTTTCTTTAATACGAGGCTCGTCCACAAAGTACGTTTCCCTGGGGCCGTTTACAGAAACAAAACACAATTTCATGGAAATATTTATTGCAACAGATACAGCAAGTGTCCAGCTATTTTTCAACATATTCGCCACCGGAAGTGAGACATTTGTCATACCGTGGGACCAACTTTTGAATACCTGTGTCGTAGAAGTCTGCCGCCTGGGATTGGAACCACTGTGTGACAACCATCTCCGCCTCTCTGTCATTCTCAAAACGCTGACACTGACCGGACAGGAATTTCTTGAGGGGTAGGAAAAGATGGAAATCACTGGGAGCGAGATCCGGGCTGTAGGGTGAATGATTAAACACCTCCCAGCTGAACTCCTGCAGGAGACTTGCTGTCCGTCGAGCCGGGTGCGGCCTAGCGTTATCACTGACCGCACTTCACAGGCGGCGGGAGCTGGAATAAGAACCTCCATCTTCAACAGATGCAACGATGCTAATGTGAGAACGCGGGAAGTTCCGTTAGTGCATGCGCCATGCTACGTCATTGCTCTATCACGTACGCACAGTCGCTTCGCGCAATATAAGGTTTGCTAGCTGTGGGACGAGTGGGAAACTCACTTTGAGGACGCTCCTCGTACAAACAGCAACTAAACTCATGTATTTACGTAAGATAAAGCTTAAAACGTGTGACACACAATTTAGCTACCGGATGCCTTGACGGAGGACTCTTTGTGGTTTTACCGAGTCTCTCCATGTGAATTATACAGTGATGTAAAAGTCACGCGTTAAAATCCTGACACATATTCCATTCGTCTAAAAGAAGAGTACGATATCCAGTCGGTTTGACTACCACAGGAGAATTAATAAATATCAGAAAGTGGACATAACGTCAAATCGATTCTTCCGGGAAGTCTGTATTCCTTATGCCACATCAGCGCGATGATATCAGGAACTAAGGAAATAACTGCTAACTAACTAACTAGATGGCTGACCGAACCCGAAGGTTCATCACCGAATTAACCAAAGCCCTCCACCGGCCCCTGTCCTGGGCCAACAAAATCCAGTTTCCTTCGACTCCTATCTCCCATAGATCCCGCCTGCGATTATCCTCCCATCTACGTCTAGGTCTCCCCAGCGGTCTCTTCCCTTCAGGTTTCCCAACCAGTACCCGGTGCACACCTCTTGTCCCATCCATGCGCGCTACATGTCCCGCCCATCTCACTCTTCTCGACTTAATCACCCTCACAATACTGGGGGAGCAGTACAGATTTTTAAGCTCGTCATTGTGCAGTTTTCTCCACGCCCCATCGTCTTCCCTCTTAGGCCCAAATATCCTCCTCAACACCCGATTCTCAAACACCTGCAATCTGTGTTCCTCCCTGCAACAATGTAAATTAAGTTATTGTCATGAGAGTGGCTCAACAACGATGAAGAAACAAGACAGACAAATAAATATTGCAGAGCCCACATGTTGTTCTTATCACACCAAATGGTTAAGAACTCGTAAAAACTACCATTTTATTGGTCATTTTATGTAGAATGCGTCTTTTACTTCGTCAACAGCCATGGAGATGGAGGCAGTATGTTCCTCCTTAATGTTGGTATCTTCCCAGAAGTTCACACGACGTCATAACTGAGAACACTAACATAGATATGTGAATTATTTATTCCGAAACCATGCTTAATTCTTTCGTAAGAAAACATTGGCTTCTCACTTATTATCTATCTTAGCCTGTGTGTGACTGTTCTAGACATCAGAGTTAACCAGGAAAATGGTGTGAACGTTGTCCGGGAACCTCGCCGACGGAAATGTCCTCGAGCTCGTAGTGTTTTAGAATGACTGCAAACATAATAACTGGGCTTTAAGATAGAAGGAATCAATAACACTAATGTGTAGGCCAACAGAATGCGAAAATGTTTACTAATATATAGGCCGTCCAACACACTTTCGAGACACGTAAGCCTAATTTCATTAATTATTAAGCAGAAACATGGCTGTTATGCTGGTGCTATTTTAGCTTTCAGGACGAGCTCACATAGAAATAATTGGAACGGGAACGACTGTGGGAAAAACCCTTGTAAATTTCTTGTCACGTCACCAGCTTATCATTCATATCAGATAATTTGAAGTGCTATTGTTGGCGACGTTAAAATACATGGGCCAGTGCGAAATAACCTGTAAAGTCTATCTACGTATTTTGACAATAGAGATTACTCTATTTTGAGACTGTTAAACGTCAAATATAAGAATGTTTCGAATTATTTTGCGTTCTTCACACAGAGTGAACGCATATAAGGACGGACTTGTTCGTCCGTTTCCATGTTTTTTCTTCACTAAGACTGAACGGGTATTTATAATGCGAAACTTTTAAGATATATCTGGTCGGAAAATACTCCAGAAACTGATCTCAAATTTTTTTATTGATACGCCTTGCCAGCCTCATTCGTATAGAAGTACGAGTCATTCAAGAATGTTAGTGTATTGGGGCCAAAGTTAATTTTCAGGTATCTCTGTGTTCAGATATGTTATCAATTCTGGACTGCAGGCCAGACAGTTGCAGGTAAATAAATTATACATTGATCTAGCCTATTTCAAAAGTTTTCTGTCTCTTAAATAGAGAACACTTTTTATATTTGTAATCTAACCTATGTCTGAGAATATGCAATTGCCAATTGATGCGACTGCCTAATAATTTAAGGTGAGTGTATGCTAATAATCCTACAGTATCTCAAATCCAAATAGGCTTGTAATAGTATAGAAATTTATATTATTTGTTAATGTACTTGTACTAGTATCCGTATTATAGAACACAACGAGAATAAATTTGAAGAAAGATATGTAAGTATAAGCAATGTAAGCAGTATAAAATAGCCTAAAACTTGGGGATAATAATTTTACTCCAAAGATAAGTTAACTTTTTACGAAATTCGACAAACAGCCTTGATCATAACGATTCATGTGTCAAAGTATGCAATTCAATGACGGACTCATATGGACAGTGAAATAGATCCATACATTAAGTCGGAGGATGTTGACTAACTCTGTAAGAACATCAAGAATATATTTAATATACCGAGTCGGTGTCATGAAACAAACAGGTATTAATGTGGCACGTTGTTCCGAAATGAAGTCACTTAATTGCTTTTTCTTCAACCAGGACAACCCGGCCACGACCTACCAAGACGGAGCTCTTCCCAAGTACATCAAGAGACCTGGTTCAGTTGGAATAGAAGGAGAGTTGTATGGCATCAGACTGGCTTCGTTCCTCTTCGCGCGGGGCCTCAACAAGACAGAGGAATTCCATCTGGCTTCAAACGTCGACGACGCTGGGGCCTTTGATGACGTGGTCTTTAAGTACAGATTGAAAGGACAAGATATTTGTAAGACGTGTTTCATACAGCTTAAGCATAGGAAAACCAAGAAAGTCGAAAAGCCAATTCTGCGCTCCAACCTCTTACACCTGTCTGGAGATTTCAGTTTGTTCAAATATTTTGAATCGTACTGTGAAATTAAACGGAACGTTTCAGAAAATAGTATTCTGAAAATGTATGGATCGTTTGTTGACTTCGAGTTTATAATTTACACTAATGCCAGTCTGAAAGGCGGCATTGAAGTTAGAAACGACAAAAACCTAGTGAGCATATTGAGTTCAGGGCCAAATGACGGGAAATATGTGACTTTCGATAAGAAATCTGGTAAAGATGTTTTCGACTTTTTTAAAGAACTGTTAAATTATTATAATTTTCTGGTGCAAATGGCAGCATATACAGATGAAGAAATTAAGCAAGAAATAGAGAATAAAATTAGCAACTTTACAAACGGTGACATAAAAAAGAAACTGGAAAAATTAATATCTGAGCCGAGCAGTGATGACTTAGGAAAACTGATCAAGGAACTGGAGAAATGTGATTTTTCATTATACGAAGAATTCTTGCAGAAAGTGAAAATATTTCAATGCCAGGCAAATGAAAGTTCCTTCGTGGAATTAATTAAGAAAGAACTTCAGGAAGCTTGTCATACATCACCTTCAGGCACAAATTCCATCTACGAAAATCTCAAACAAGTTTTGGAAAACTGGTGGAAAGAAGAAGGAGAAGTAGATAGGCTCAGCGAAGGTTCGCGTCTCTGGCAAAATATCAAACAGCTTTGGATTGAGAAGATAAAGGAATTATCGAAAATAGACGTTCAAGGATCCATTGAATTTGGTATACGTTTCACTGAACAACATATGCAACCACTGTCTGAAGCCTTGCAACGCAGCAAATTATTAAAAGTCATTACCAAAAAAAAATTGTGGCACTTTATCCAAATTGAAAATATATCAGGCTCTCAATTCTTTAGCTCAAGAAAATTCATTATTTATTAGTTTAAAATCTTTACTGGATCGACGTGAAGAAATTCGTGAATTCTGGCCTTGCAAGTGGAGTTCTGTCTTGGTCATTGACTGTGAGGAAGGCTCTGACAATGATGATAAAAATTTGGCCGATATTCTTACGGACATAT